GAAGCATGGGTTTTGTCAAAAACGTTCAACAGTTGGACATTGCCCGGCAGATCCGCTTTGGCAACGACATCCTCTGCCTTAACCGTGGCACCAACTTCAACAAGCACTTCACCTTCAAGTGGGAGTCGACGTTTTTTCTGAATTATCATTCCCTTTGTGACCTTAAGTCCGGGGGTATATGCCTGCGCCATTAATTAACCTCAATTTAGAATATAGTTTGGTTTTTATATTTTTACGTGTGTTTAGACGCAAACTAAAAGTTTGCCCTACAACTTCGGTGAATCAACGCTAAATGCGCCTGTGGCATTTGTTGCTGCGACAAGTGTCCAAAAGCGATAATCCTGAAAATCTGATAATCCTGAAAATCCTGGTTCAGACAACAGCGCGCGGACAAAGCACCCAATCACTGTTGCTATTCTGCATCGTCGGGGTCATCCTCAGATTCGTAAAAGTTGTCTAAAATCTCAATATCACTTACGACGTGTTTCTCCCCACAAGCGGACTTGATACTATCCCATAATCGGTTTAAGAGACGTACTTTCACTCTTCAATTGTTTGTAACTGATTTCTTCCATCGCTTTCTCTATGCAATTGCCAATAACAAATAAAAGGATATCTGGAATTTCAGCACTCTCATAGATAATATCGTCAATAGTTTCCCATACCGCGTCCTTGAATACGGTTGGCAGGCGATTGATATTGTAGAGTGCCACCTGTGTTACAATCACAATAAAACATGACACGCGAGGTATAGCGATATCTTTCGCGGCATCGTGCGCCTCCAACTCTTCAGGTATGCCAATTTCCTCAACATGTGCAACAACGCCTTGATGGACGAATCCTATCCGAAGGTCGAAATCCTTGAGCATCTCTTCTTGAAAAAGTGATATGTAGTGGTCTGGCACAACTCGCAGACACTCCGCTCTTAGTATCCGCTTATCAATCGTTGTCTGTTTTTTCTTTCTCATCGGTCTTCGGGGTGGAAAACCCCCTCCTATAGTTGACTAAAGTTTGGATAATTTGGGTAATATTCAAGAAGTCCCATCAGGGACTATCTATTATACCCAATTAACGGGATTTGTCCTATTTTCCGCTCGGTAGGTGCGGTTTCCTAACCGCACCTTATGCGTCAATTTAGGGATCCTCCAGGGCCGGTAGGTGCGGTTTCCTAACCGCACCGAGTCGTTCGCGAAAACGGTTATCTTGCACATATTCCACAGTATCCGGTGCGGTTAGAAACCGCACCTACCAGGTGGGGGCTAAGTGCGGTTTCCTAACCGCACCGAGTCGTTCGCGAAAACGGTTATCTCACACATATTCCACAGTATCCGGTGCGGTTAGATGAAGATTAAGTATTTAATTCGGTAAAGCCGATTCTCTCCAGGGCCGGTAGGTGCGGTTTCCTAACCGCACCGAGTCGTTCGCGAAAACGGTTATCTTGCACATATTCCACAGTATCCGGTGCGGTTAGATGAAGTTTAAGTATTTAAATTCGGTAATGCCGATTCTCCCCAGGGCCGGTAGGTGCGGTTTCCTAACCGCACCATGGGCGTCAATTTAGGGATCCTCCAGGGCCGGTAGGTGCGGTTTCCTAACCGCACCGAGTCGTTCGCGAAAACGGTTATCTTGCACATATTCCACAGTATCCGGTGCGGTTAGAAACCGCACCTACCGGGTTGGGGCTAAGTGCGGTTAGAAACCGCACCTACCGGGTTGGGGCTAAGTGCGGTTAGAAACCGCACCTACCGGGTTGGGAACCGCTAAATTGACGCCTATGGTGCGGTTTCCTAACCGCACCGAGTCGTTCGCGAAAACGGTTATCTTGCACATATTCCACAGTATCCGGTGCGGTTAGAAACCGCACCTACCAGGTGGGGGCTAAGTGCGGTTTCCTAACCGCACCGATAGATTGGAATCAAGTTAATTTGGTATTATACCATTTCTGAATGATCGTCTACCATTAGCAAAACCGCGTTTGTCCTCGCGCAATTCACGCGCCTCTTGCACACTCGCCTGAATGGGAAACCAAAAATCTTATAATGATATGTTATTTTTCAGAAATGGTATAATATCGAACTCACGTTATTCTAAATCTGTTAGTTTCTTTTGTAGTTTTGGGCTATCTATAACATCTCGATTCACAATCCACGACGGCATTTGCCCCGAAGCTACGCTGATGATACTCTCACATGCACTCTTACCGTTACCTTCAAAGCATTCATCAGTCCAGCAGATACTGTGTGGCGTAACGATAACATTGTCCAAGTTTAAAAGTGGATCGTCATCGCTAATCGGTTCCTGCTCAAACACATCAAGCCCGGCACCTTGAATCCGCTGATCCTGAAGTGCCTCTGTAAGTGCCTTCTGCTCAACAATTGGACCGCGTGCAGTGTTAATCAGGTAAGCCGTCGGTTTCATCAGGCTGATACATCTCGCATCAATGAGTCCTTGCGTCTCTTCGGTCAACGGACAACAGACACAGACAAAATCAGCAGTTCGCATCAGCGTATCCAGATCGACGAGTTCTACACCAATTTCTTCCGCCTCAGCAGGTGTGACGTACGGATCGCAAGTGATATGTCGCATTCCAAACGGTTTTGCCAGTTTGAATGTCTCTTTTCCGATATTGCCCATGCCGACAAGACCGAGCGTTCTACCGACGCAATCCCCATACCTATTAATCGTTTCGTAGTATTCTCTTTGATGTTACGGGGTAGACTCAAAATATGTCCGACATGGCTTGCTAAGGGTTCCGCTGCACACGTACCTCAAACCTTCCAATTTTCTGTGAGGAATTTGAAGCAGAGCGATCTCTCGGGCTGCTGAAGAGAGAGAGGAAGATAAAGAAGGCGAGAAATGGAAGGAAACATTTTCATTGACTGAAAATTTTTTTCACGGATGTTCCACAGAAGTTCCCAGTTGTAATGTACCTGTTGTCAGTGGGTGGAGTTATGGGCGTGTCCTCCATCTCTTCAGACTCGGCAAACACCAGTCGCCCACCACTGATTGGTTGTCAGCCATTCATCGCGACATCGTGACGACATCATGTCAGAGGGAGAGAGGTAGGGGGAGACTTATCAAAGAGATTAACACGTAGACACCATGACAACCGAATGAGCCATCGTATTCTCAAAGCCCATATCCAACACGAAAGCTTTTACCAATAGAATTCTTATACGGTCCAAAGACATCAAAGTTACTGTGCATAGGTGTCATTTCTTTTGACATGGAATTTGTTTAGTGTGGTGTGGGGATTGCCTCTAAATTTTTCTTTTTGAATCCATCGATCCTATAATCATAAGTTAGTAGTATGAGGCATTGCAGAATTTTGCACTCTGAGTGGCTCGCCAAGTGTGTGACATTCGTCTGGTAGTGTATGTATAGTGTAGTGACAGTAACTGGCTATAGTCTTCAGTAGCAGAGATGTAAAACGACTGTGAGCATATGGCGACAGACAGGCCTTACCTTCTGAACTCCCCTGCCCCCTCCTCCTCCCCTTCACTGTCCTCGTCGATGGTTGGGTTCAGCAACACCCTCCCTCCTCCTCCTCCTCTGTCTCCCCTCTCCACACCCTCACCACGACGGTCCTCCAACTCCCACACCGGACTGTCGTACTCTGTGCCGCGCAGGCTGATCTGGTTCAGCACCTCTGCGTCGTTGTATCTCCTAAAGAAACGAGACGATACGACGTTCAGGTGTTCGTACTGATTACTTTGAGAGAGGCCAACGCTCTGATAGGAAGCCTATTTCTTTCCCAGGAACAGTTTCATATTTCTGTAACCCCTGAAATAAGGATACCTCACCAATCTCTTCTGTCCTATTGGTGTGAGGCTCTGGGTTCCACTAAATGTATAGAGTAAGCACATACCACGATCGTTGTGGAGCATAGTCAAATCTCTTGTGCCTGTACTGCCTCCCTCCTCGTCCAAACCTCCGCCTCACCGAACTTTTTAACCTAACGTAGCACTGTCCCATCGGCACTGCAGTGAACGGGGTGGACGACGGAGCCGTCGCGTAAACAATACGCAGGAGAACGGCCGGTTTACGACTCGAGGAAAGACCGAGAGCGTTGTCTAAGTGCTACTAATGTCCGACAAATCGCCAAACAACGGGAAAAGCAAACGGTCCCTGCAGCGCTTGTGTGTTTACACGCTTCTTGGGCTTGGGTTGTTTTGCAGGCGTTACCGAGTTCAAAGGTCATTACTGGTGGCGTTAATTAGAACAAAACCCACGTGGAGATGATGTTCAAGCGTGCGTCTGGCTCGAGCGAGCTGGGGAAGAAGGGAGGTTACCTCGTGGCGCTGTCGAGTGGCGATGTAAGTGCTGAATCATCGGGTCGGTTTCGCAGGCGTTCGTGACGTTTTTCCGCTCTCCAGCGACTTTTGTTCGAAGGATGTCTAGAGCTAGCGGTCCTGACGGGCACTGTGGAGGTCCATGGGTTCCTCCTCACCTCTTCCCACCCTCCTCTCCCTCTCTTCTCCCCCCTCAACTCCCCTCATCTCCCAATTCTTCCTTCACCATCTGACGCCGAAGAGGAGCAGATGGGGGCGGGGTTTGCAGGGAGAGGGCGTGGTCTCGGGGCTGAGGACGTGGAGTGGCTGAATTCTCTGGCAGCAGACTCCGTTATTGCAGTGTGTATGGTATGGAACCTGGACTCATTGCTAGTGACCAGTCTCCAATCCGTTCCAAACTCTGGACTGCTACCATCAAAACTGGACGTGAGTATTGCCTTGGAAACATGACAAAAACATCATCTGAGTGTCATGTGACATCCTTTGACACAGGGACGAATGGCTACAGCCACATTCAGACTGGTAATACATTCATACATACATGTGGTAAGAATCACTTTGAGAGGCATTCTAGTTGAAGGGTGACGTTGCTCCAACTCCCAAATTCATCAACTTCCCTGAGGACTTTCACACACAGTTGAACAAAGTCTTAGAATACAGAGGTACCCAAAAGATTACTGGTAGTATCCTGAGAGTATACTGAGAATATACAGGACCTGTGGTGTTGGTCTGTGGGGGCATGAACTCTGGCAAATCAACTCTCGGTCGGTTTCTTGTCAACAAATTTCTCAACAGGTGAAAAAATTCCTTCTTAAAATTAATTTTACTATAATACTCTTGTGTTAAGATGTGACAAAGTGGGGTTTCTGGAATGTGACGTTGGACAGCCCGAGTTCACCGTTCCCATGGTTACCGCACTCCACGTGTTGACCCACCCGGTGTTTGGCCCCGCCCACTTTAGTCACAGACGACCTTATAAGTAAGAGCCTCACTCTTCATTTATCTTTTCAAAACTCTCCCATGATGTTCAGGGCTTACTTCTTTGGCGAGTTGTCCCCTGCTCGTAAGCCTCGCTACTACGTCCACCTCATAAACCAGCTATTTTCACTCTTTATGAGTGGTATCCGTGGAGACGGGGAAGTCCCTCTGATAATCAACACCTGTGGCTGGACGAAATGTCAGAAAAGTCCTGAATTTGCAAACACAAAGTCTAGATAAGATTTTCGTTTTGCAGATTTAGGTGTGGCTTTGCTGATGGATATAATCCGACTCACAAGCCCCTCCCACATCGTTAGGATGGTGCCGGATAAACGACGTGTTTTCAACGTCGTAACAGATCTCCTTCCCTTCACTCCTCACACCCTCACCTCCACCCCTGGCATCCTCACTCCCTCCTCCTCTCCCGTCCCCGTCCCTTGGTCCACTGAAGAACACTGGTACTCTGAACACATCACTGGTCTTTCGGGTAAATATACAGCAATGGATATTGTCTCAGTCGTGCTATTGTTACATCTGATTTCCCCTCTCTCTCTGCCCCCACAGCTCCCGAGCCAACTCCAGTTCAATGGAATGTGTATCGGACCAAGAAACGAGGTTGTTCGGAGACCACTCCTGACCGCAGCGGCGATGCCAAACCAGGCACCAAAAGGTACCACAGAGAGACCAAACAGACCACTGAGACACCACCAAGAGGGAACCACTGGGGGACCAAACAGACCACTGAGACCACACTGAGAGAGACCACTAGAGACGACGACACCACAGAGGAGAGCGAGACTGATTCCAGTACCGAGGAACTGGTTTCAGACTCAGACTCGGACAACAGGTCAGTCATTCCTGTTTGACCAGTTTTCATCCAGTTTGACCAGTTATCTCATCTCCAGACAAGACAAAGTCACGGAGGTCACAGAGGTCGCTCGTGCCACACCCTCTTCCGCAGTGGGCGGAGTCAGGAGACACAGACGAAGAGCTCAGGGTCATAGGTCAAAGATCGCCAGGACCGGACTCCGCTGTCTGATATCAGAACCAAAATATGAGAATGGAACTCCTCTAGCCATGAACGCCTCTTCAGGTATGGCAATTATAGTTCGGTTTATCCGCCCGACTCCCCGAGGGCGCGTTCAAGGTAGCAGATGAAGCAGCTGATTGGTCGATGGTTACACTGTGTTCTATAAATAGATCACTGGGAGGAGGTGGAGATGCAACTGATTGGTCGATGGGTCAAGGTGCTGAACCACCAGATCATGGTGCAGAGGGTGGGCGGAGTCAATGGACTGAGCAATAAAAAGAGGTATGTAGGTGAAGTTTGCAACTATGAAATTACACATTTTGTCCCTAACTAAAGTAGTGTTTATTTCAGATCTAGTCTTTCGCGAAGACTTTCACTGGTGGCCCACTTTGCTCCATTGATTGGTGGGTGTGGTGACCACACCCATTTCCTGGACTCAGCTCCAGTGTTGGAAGTGTCGTGGAATGACGTCGCTATTCATGTTCTCCATCAGCAGGTCGGCCGTCTGAGTGTGTGTTGTTCTTCCTACTATTGTATGATGTAAACAAAGCTTGTTGAGTTTTTCTTAAGTTAACGAAAAAAGTAAGTCAATGAGATACCGATGGAGTTTATTTTGTCGACCGCAAGTCTTTTTAACTGGCAGTAGCATTTTACTGACATTGCAGGTTCCTCGCAGTACTGTGGTGAATGCCATGATGGGATGTATTGTGGCTCTCTGTCGCGTCGACCCCTGCGAGGTAGGCAGTGGCTACGATGACATCACCATTACATCATGTGGTTCACGTTGACGACAGGTGGTGGAAGAGGGGCTAGTGGGAGGAGGGAGTGTCCGGTTCCTGCGTTCCCATACCCCTGACATTGAGTTTATAGCAATGGGTAAAGTGACGTTGTACATTACTTCACCCTGCAACTAATGCTAAACATTACATCATCATGATGTAATGTTGTTGGTTGCATGTCCCTTCTGTTTGCCCAGGTGACATCTCATTGTGTACGCCTCCTCTTTCTCACTGTATATACTCCAGGAGTACTCTGTGGATCGTCGTCTGAGAAACAGCTCTTCTATGTGACCACACCCCTCATTACAGACAGGGACGTTGCCATGGACACCGTGAACGTTCTAGTCATGGGCGAGGTCAGCTCACTGTATGGCTTCTCTGGACAGAAGACCACGCCCACCTCGTTTCGTCACATTGATATCGGTCAATTTGTGTGGAGGAAATTGACTTGACAGCAAAATGCCTTGGTCATGGAATTGATTCTTTTATGGTCTTGGCTTTCACATCAATAATTATGTAGTGTTATTTCTTTAACGCAAAAAAACACGAAGAAGATTATTGGTGTGTGCATGAGAATCAGGGTAAATTAGTACATTCCTCCAGAGCCCCCTGGGGGTCGGGGGTGAAATAGCGGGGGTCGTCGGGCGGGGCCATAGTTGTGAGGAGGTTGTGACATAATCATGTGGGGTGGGGCTCCTGGATGAGGAGGCTACGAGAGGGGAAATGGTTACTTACTGTAAATAGGTTATTGCTGGGCGTGACTTACAGGTAGGTGTGGCGGTGGGTGTGGCAGTAGTCCTCCGTGGCTGGCCCCACCCATCACATGACGTCGTGGATCCTGGGAGGGCTCTAATTGAGGTGTAGTCCTATATATACACAATTTCGATTGTCGTATAATGAAATACCCATGACATGGCTTACCACATGGTCTCCATTCCATACGGAGTGGGAGTATGAGATCCTGGAGGCATGAAAGTGGGTGGGGCAGGATGGGGAATGGGTGTGGTTGCCACGCCCGGGAGGACCCCGAGAGGAATGTGTCCAGGCATTACTCCGACACTTCCCAGTCCTCGCTGGGTGGGGCCTGAGGCAAAGATTAACATGTGAAGAATGGTCTAAATTTAGAAACTTGTACTAAAAACAGAAACACAATTGTCATCCATAAACCACAGAACTGAACACCAACTGCAAAGCGGAAGATAGAGGAGGTGTGTGTCTGTATTTCCATTATAAGAGATTCCCACTGACTCAATTCGGAGGTGTATGCATTACAGAGAAGTGTCCTTTATTCCGAGTATACTAATTACAGTGGAACCTCCGAACAAGGGACACTATGGGGACAACGATTTTGTCCCTTGTAGAGAGGTCGTCCCTATCTCGGAGGGTCCCTTATCGGAGGTTCCAGTGTATATATAGCATTGACAACCTTCGGAGTGGAGTTGTGCCGGCTCGGAATCATCTGGACTGACGGGCTCAAACTGGGGCGCAGGGGGCGGAGGAGGAGGCAGAGCCTCGCCCATGAGTGCCCCGCCCGATGGGGTGGGGAGCAGTGAGTATGGTGAGGTTGTGAGGTGGGAGGGGGTGAAGGTGTCTGACGAGGAGGAGGAATCCCTTCTCGGCTCTGCTGCTGGAGGTTTCCTAACACGACTGCGATACTCAGAAAGGTTTATCTGACGAGAGATAGAAATCAGAGAGATTGTTATGATAAGATAGTGATCAGAGAGATTGTTAAGATAAGATAGAGATCAGAGAGATTGATAATGTAAAAACTCACTTTTCTCTTCACTGGAGTTTTAGTCAGTGACAGTTGCTGCTGACCAGCTACCTCTCTTGGGTCAGTTGATGCAAACATGGCACCGTCCCCCTCGCCTCTCTCCCTCCTCACCCCTCCCTCCCCCCCAATTCTCCCCCACCACTGATCGCTACATCCATTACCATCAGCTCTTCCAGGGACTTCCCCCCACTCCTCCCCTCCTCCCCTTCTCCTCTCCCCATATCTTCCGACATTAGCTCCTCCAACGATCGCATCTTCCTAACAACCTCCGTCCTTTCCACCGTTTCACTCCTTACCGTCCCCTCCTTGCCATCGCACACTCCCTTCTGCCCCGCTCCAACACCTGCAATGACGTCATCAACCACACCCCTCTCAGGCTCTCCGTCTCTTGACACAGGAGTTGCGACATCGCTGACACGAGGTGTTGGATTATCATTGCCACTTGTCCCTCCAAATCGAGTCTCGGTGACCTCTGCCACTCCTTCTTCTTCCTCCTCCTCTTCTTTCTCTCTGTCTTCCCTCACTGAGTCAAACTCACTGTCAGAGAATTCTTCAAACAGCGGAGACGGTTCCCTCTCCTGTAGGCCAATGGACGGAGCCAGTCCACAGTCGACACCACTGGACAACGAGGAGCTGATGGTCGTGGTATTGCAGACTGGAACGGCTATGGGCGTGGTCTGGAGCGAGAGGTCTGTCTGTCTCTCCTGCCATCTATGCAGGAGTCTTTGCTTCAAGGGAACTGCGGTGGTGGGCAGGCAAGACTTGTGACAGAGTGAAACTCTAAGAATTCTTTCAACACTTTATGTGGGGAGGAAACACAAACTCAATTTCCCTGAGAAGATTTAAAATTGTGTTCTAGATGACTTTCAGCGGTGGAACGTTCTTGAATGCGTGGCATTATTATTTTATTGTGCGAGTGTTTGTGGGTGTTATTGCAATATGGATGGGTGTGAGTGAGTGTGTAATATATTGGTGAAAGTAAGGTAGAGAGGACTAACCAGAAAATGTGGAGTTGGAAGATCGGTTCTCTTTCTCCTCATTCTCCGTCTTTTCCTCTGAATACTTTTTCATCCACCTCTGTTAGTGTTAGAGAGTAGAACCTCAGGGTATTATTTCAAACTGCCGTACTCTTAAATCTTCAGTTCTGAACTCACGTGTTTCAGAGAGCCACGTTCCCGGGGTCGGAGTACGTCTCCACCAGGCCACACGGTCGAGAGATAGCCGTTCCTTTGAGTGACGTCATCACGAGGCCACAGGGGGCGTGGCCCACCGTTGTCGCCATGGATACCGTGCTTCTCAGCCTCCCACTGCCTCAGTAGAGCCTAAAAGAGCATTGCGGTATTGGTTTCCGTATTTTCATACAGTAATTCTGAGTTACCTTCTTAAGAGGTAGAGGGAACTGCATCAGTAGATACTGCGGTTGAAGATCTGGGGTAAATCGAACAGTTGGTGACTGTATGTAGGTGGAGGTGTGGAGAGGGGAGGAGGGGAGGGAGGAGGGAAGGGGGTGGGGGGAAGCCAGAGGAGCTGCTAATCGTGGTGTGACTGGAGGAGAGAATGCATCTGGGAGATCAGCGGTCGATACTCCTTCATTTGATGAGACACTCGACAATCGCCTGTTTTGGGATGAATGAAGATATCCACAAACACAGGTTTCAATATTGCGAGAGTCAAAACACATAGAGATTATACTAAGTGTATATGTATATGCAGTAAGACATTGAAAAGAAGAATTACTATTGCAGATGAAACACACCCAACCTTGCACATTGCACAACAAAATATCACACAGTTTTCTCCTTCAATGGAGTTTGTCTGTTTCAGGGGTAACTCACATTTTGGCAGGAGGAAGGACGGGGGGTCTTCGAGCACTGCCCGTGGAACCACGCCTCTCTCGTTGGGTTGCCGTGGCAACCTTCTGTGAGGGTGTGAGGGGGTGGAAGGAGGAGGGGGAGAGGGTATCGCTGTCGGCACTCCCCTCTGACGTGAAGTGGCGCCTCTTCCTCTGAGAACTGGCCTCCATTCTTTGGAACACCTTCATCACTGCTTCTGCCTTCCTCTCCTCTCGCGACTGCGGGGATCACATGATCACTCACATGATGTCACATGACAATCATGTGATCACAAACTCACCTTGACTTTCTTTTTCCTCTCGCCAGACTCATCTTCGCTGTCGCTGCTCCCCTCGTGACTCCCACCCTCCCCTCCCGTCCCACCCCCGGAAGACAACCGACCAATCAGATTGCTCGTCTGCTGGTGGTGGGCATGGCCTCGCGGTTTCTGACGTGTCCCAGAGGAGCTGGTCCAACTAGAGTTGCTATCCTCGTCGTGAGGGGGCGGAGCTACGAGCTGGGGTGGGTGTGGTTTACCAGAAACCTTACCAACAGCCTCATCCCCTCCCCCTCTCCCCCGTCCACGCGATGCACGCACAACCACGCAATTCTTATGACCACACCCACATTCCAGAGGGTAATCGCATTTCTCGATGGTGAAATCAAACGGAAGAGTTATTTCCTCGTAGACGGAGATGGTGTGGGTGGCGTAGACGCCGAAATGGAGCTCACTGCCGACAAAGAAATGGCGTAGTTCGGAGTTCGGGGCACAGGATCGACGGATGAACCGTGCCAAGTTTCCATACTCCCTGAGGGAAAAAGAAAGAGATGCTCGTTACATTGTTTTTATTATCATATTTGTGATTTCAGAAAAGGGGGGGGGGGCGTAAGAACTCAAAAGCAGCTGGCTTGGGTCTTTCACATCTTATAAATTAATACCACGTGCTGCGTTCTTAGCGGTAGTTACACTAGAGAGGGCGAGGTGGTCTCACCTGGCATCGATACAGATGTCCAAGTCACTGATCTTGTCGTAGATGTAGACAAACGGACAAGGTTTCTGTTTCCATAGCGACCTGGTCCCCGGAGGGTAGTCGGCTAACACTGACGACATCACTGACACCTTTCCCTGGAGACAGAATCCATTATGAGAACGGCAATTGTGGGAGAACAGTTTGGTGAGACACAGAAGAAGTGAAAATCTCATTTTGTGGAATCCTCACACCCAAAATTTTCCAAATTTGTGAAACTTCTCACATCTCTCTCTCTTTCTGTCTGTCTGTCTCTCTATATCTGTCTGTCTGTCTGTCTCTCTCTCTCAGCTCATCTAAACTATTTCTCGTCCACCTCACCTTATACTCCAGAACCAGTTCGTCCTCTGGGACCTCCATCTGAGCCACAACTCCCATCCTCCTCCTCTGGACCTCCGTCACACTACACTGTACAATAGGGGGATACATACAACTCACTATGAATGAGGAATTCAGGAAAGCTAAAACCCTTTATACGCGTTCAGACTGAAAAATATATGCCATTCACTATGACATTGACATTCACTGGCCAATATAGAGCATTGTATTCGTTTAGTACAGGAATGTAAGGAATGTAAGGGTGGTGCAATATTTCTACATACTACAGGAATGTAAGGAATGTAAGGAATGTAAGGGTGGTGCAATATTTCTACATACTACAGGATTACAAATTAGATATATATCCCTGGTTAATGGTGCCAACCTGTGGGTGGGTGTGGTTTTCCATGCTGCTGTATTCCTGCTGTCCAAACACCTGTTTATACACACAGTGTACGAGAGAGAAAGAGAGAGAGAGAGAGAGAGTCAAGGAGTAAGCCGAGACCAAAGTCCCGTGAGGACACCTGTACGTACCACGGCCTCAGACTTGAGCTGGTTGAGGTGGGAGGAGACAAACTGTCTCACACTCTCTGAGACTCTGTTGTGCTCTGCGGTGTCGTACTTATCGCACCACGGGCTGCAACACATCGGGGAAGGAAGGACACACAAACACTCTCTGAAACTAAAAGTTTCTCTCTCCAGAAACAACAGCTAGAACTAGCTTGAACCTGAAACGAACCCTCCTAAAGTACACTGTTCCATTAAGGACACTTCCACTTGCACTACATTAGTCACCTCTGAATAAGGGACACCCATAAATAGATTTCCCCAAGGTTCCACTTATTCAGGTGTAGTACCTGTTGTTGGCAGACCAAAGCTCTTTCCACGAGCTAGCATCCCCCCACACCCCTCCCTCCCTCCTTCTCCTCATCCAGCAGGGTGGCGGCATTCAGCAGACACTGTATACTCCCCATCTTCCCTCCTTGGCCCCCTCCCCCCACCCCCTTCCCTCCAGAGCCCTTCCTAAACCCCTTCCTCCCCTCCACCTTCTCTTTCTTTGTCTTTTTGGTCTCAGCAGACGGCGGTTTACTTTCGCCGTCTTTGGACTGCTTTCGTCTTCTTTTGTTACCCAAGGGGTGGGGGAGTGGCTTGCGATGATCGCTTCGGTTGTCCCTCGGGCTCATATCATCCACATCTGGAGGAATAAGAGGGAGAGGGAGAGAGATGGGTAGAGACAATTTGTCTACAGACTTACCAGCTGAGAAACGGCGGTGGAGTTGGCATGTAAGAGTATGTGGAAAAGAGAGAGAGATTGAGAAAAGTGAGAAATGATAGTAAAGTCACTGATGAGTGGTTTACCAGATATGTCGTCCCTTTTCTTTTGCTGCAGCTGTCGCGCCCTCTTCTTGTCCACTGGCCTGAGAGACAGCAGCAAAAATGTCAATAAGATGCTCTGAAAAGAGAACTAAGACAACCAAGAAGCAATGATGGGTGCATGGTACTGTAGGTCTGACCTCGGGTGACACACTTCGCAGAGATATTTGTCAGGAAGGTTGTTTGGGTTGACTGTTATACACTCCACATGCTGCCAAACACTGCATGCAGAGAGAGAGAGGGAGAGAGAGAGAGAGGAGAGAGTAGTGTCTGCACGGTGTGGCGTGGCTGGTGTCGACTTCTTGCCTGCAGCCATCACACTGGACCATGAACCCGTCGTCGTGAACGTAGCCACAGATGCAGCGAGTGGTGTAGTCGCCATAGTCCTCCTCCTCTTCCTCCCTCCCCACTCGCCCACTCCTGTCTCCTGCTAATTGGGGCCCACGAGACGAGAAAAAGCTTCGGTTCACTCTACGACTGGATATCAGGCTTGTACAGAAACAGGAGGGTAAATGTGTACCTTTCTTGTCTACTTTTTGAGACATACTGCTGAGAAAAACATGTCCGCAGACTTCTCGCTCACAACGAATCCCAAATAATGCACATCACCAGGGTGCGCATGCGCACAAGTGCACGTGTTATTATGAGGCGTGGTCTTCACACGTAAACAATACTACGCATGCGCTCGCCGCTCGCTCTAGACACAACACAAACAGAAAACCCAAAGCTGCATCACCAACACCTAAAGATCGGAGATGGCGTATCAGGATCCAAGGTTAGCTTCAATCTTGCATTTTGCCCATGTTCAAGCCTGCATTATATCTACTCCAGAAAGAAAAAAGTCTAGCGTAAATCGTTGTTGTTGCTGTGTAGCAACAAGTGGCAGCCACTCCGCTATTGTATAGGCTCGTGGGAGTGGCTGGTGTCACTACGGCCCGCAATTCATGCCGCTAAAAGCGGCCGGTAGTAGAATTTACTACGAAACTAGACCACTCCAGACTCTCCTCGTTTAGCCACACACACACACGCACACATCTGCCAGCACCACCACACACGACGAGTCGTTTAGTGGACCACACCGTCTGAGTTTGCAGAGACATTAGTAGCCGCGGTCCCTCACGCGGAAACAGTTACCCACTGCGCTCGCTGGAGCAGCACTGCTGAGCTCCAGAAGCCGGCCATTGCTCTTCCCGGCCTAGCTCTCCGCGTCTGCACCGCCGCGCCCTTGGCTAGAAGCTGCTAGCTGCGCAGCTAAAGAGCTCGCGCATCGGGAAAAGCTGGGAGTGGCTGGATTGGGATTATGTAATTTTGCGGAAGCCATCCACGCGTCAGCTCGCCGGCTCACTATATAGTCCTCCGCGTTCGAACACAGTGGAAAACGCCCTCCGCTGACTGGAGCAGCAGTCAGTGAGTAGCTAGACAACAGTGGAAGACTTCGTTGTCTGTCGCAGCGACCGTAGTAAACAGAGCGTCTGTGTGTGAGACGAGGGGCCGGTGACACCAGTAAGCTAAGTCCTGCCTCCTTCACCCTAAGGTTAGGGAAACTAACTATTACTGTGCTGCCAGCTAAAGCCGTGCTGTGAGGGGCTCTGTTTGTAACCAGATACGGATGTAACTCTTGTGTACACCCAACAAGATCAGGACATGTATTACAAGTATTTTACAAGATGTTTTACAATGTATAGTGGCTTGGTCCATGTGCTTTTCTGTTTGACTGTCAGCGTGCTGTTCCATGGGAATGTGGCGTCATAGGCCTCAACCCTTGATGTCAAATGTACTATGTACGAGACACGTGTCCCTAATTACTTCCCAAGGTACACTCCAGGACTTCGTACATAATCTATATCCCTTTCTACTTAGTTCAATCCAACCACTTTTCCATAGTTCATTTTCTACGAGAGAGATCTCTTAACTTTACCTACTGTGTGCCTTTTATTATTCCCCTTCTCTTCACTACTACTACCCTTCCAATTAACTCACCCTCAATTTCCTTATAACTAACGTAACATGACTTCATATTGATGATATATATACCAAATCCCTTGTCTGAGATATGATTACGTAGTGTGTGTGTTGTGGAGAGGCCCCGCCCACAAGGCAGTGTTTATGGTCTCGTCTGTAAAGTGACTGCCTTGTAGAGCGAGTGGTGTAATTACTCGAATGGCAATAGTGTACGTCAATTGAGTGGGTATTTTATGACCTCAAGTGCACACTCCCTCTTCTGATGTACTGTGTCCTTACAGACACACTGCTATATATCCTTTACTCGATTGCACAATGTGTGTGTGTGCAGTGTGCGTTGGTCCATGGCGTATATATGTATATATATGAGAGTTTGTGTATACTCCGTTTTCCTTTACCCTCTTCCACTCCCTCCTCATCTCTCTCTCTCTCTCTCTCTCTCTCTCTCTCGATGACAGGGTGTGTGAGAGGGTTATGAGTAGTAGAGAGCTCAGTGAATATCCTGGTCACGAAGGAGACGAAACTACACACCACAAAGTCAGTAGGAAGAAGAGGGGAGGGTGTGTGTGTGTGTGTGTGTGTGTGTCTTTGTAGGGGTGGGAAGGGTGTAAAATGGGAAAGGGAGTACTAATTAATCGAAGGGTGGTTGCATGACAATATGAAACAACCAAGTTAGGAAGAGACGAAAGTAGCCTTTAGTAGCTAAAGCCTGGACAGTATACGTATAATGTATTGCAGCTTGTTTATGGTTGCCATAGACACCGTACACTGTAGTATGTGTGTGTAATTCAAGGACAACCACAACAGTAGACACTCACTCACTCAGACTAATCAACCATCATTACCTCAGACCCCCCACTGTTTACCTTATAATGTTGGGTCTCTTGAATGGGCTACATCTGTTGGGTATGCACACATAAATAGGTGTCTATAGCTACTAAATTTAGCTTCTCTCCTCCTCCCTCTTCTTTCTCCTGTCCCTTTTCTCTCCATCTTCTCTCTCCCTCTCCCCTCTTTTCTTCCTCTCTCTCCCCTCTCTCCTTCTTCTCTCTCCCCCTCTCCCCTCTCTCCTTCTTCTCTCTCTCCCTCTCTCCTCTCTCCTTCCTCTCTCTCCCCCTCTCCCCACTCCCTCCTTCTCCTGCCAAGTTTGCTCCCATCCAAGAATTGGACGAGGGGAGCAAAGGAGCCGAGACGACTGTCTACACCTGTCGCTACGACGACCGGAAAGTCATGTCCATTAACAGGTGGGTGTGTGCAATTTTCTCATCCCTAACGAATGAATCACAATCAGTTGTCTTGGCAACACCACAAAAATTGTTTTTGGACGATTCCTGTCGTTGCAATGTAATTGGTTTGTGATTGGGCTCAGTTACGTTTGATCCCTGCCGAATTAAACAAGCAAATGTCGTGATTGCTTTTGATCCCTGCCGAATTAAACAAGCAAATGTCGTGATTGCTTTTGATCCCTGCCGAATTAAACAAGCAAATGTCGTGATTGCTTTTGATCCCTGCCAAATTAAAACAGGAAGTGTTGACATCTATTGATATAGCAGTGGTTTTTGTACATACGTACATGTGGGAAAGTGGGCATCGTGAATTTCATTACCAGTAGACCCTGTGTCATGAATATCGTTAGCGATAGACGCGGCGTGCATTCTCGGCCTAACGATTGATCACGTCTTACAATATTCCATGTACGCTTAGTCAACAAACCATTCACAATTTTAACATGATTTAAAAATTACATAACTTGCGTAGCTAAAAAGCGTGGAATGTGATTCTTTTTAATGTATTCTGTGGGAATGCAGTCAACTGTTAAAATGGCGATGATTTACTGGTTGATTATAAAGACAATGGGCTGGCAACATTTGATGAAGCGTGCCAAGTGTGATGATATGAAAGAAAGTGTTACTGCGACGGGTATGGTGTCCTATGACTGGCAGAAAAGGGGGAGGGGAGACGAATGAGAGGGTGGAATGCGAAATTGACAACGAGGCAATAGGATATGATAAGAGGGGATGGAGGAGAGAGGGAAGATAGACCCACCCCCTCCCTGTTCCATGAGTCAAACAAGGCCAAGCCACACATCAAACAGCAGAAAAAGAAAGAGCTGCCCTGTGGTGGGACTCGAACCCCCGGCACTGCTGCTGTTAGTTAACCAACTCTACAGAGCCATATTTGGGACAGCCGGTAGAAGTTTCCCCAACCCCCGATCAGACCAGCCAAACTCTCTCTCTCTCTCTGAATATTCTCAACCACTGCACCTCTCGCAATCTCTGCCTCATACCACGGTAAGTCGACGTCTTACCCTGCAGTCTGCCTCGCTGCGTGCATGCTGCCATGGCGAGAATCGTCCTCCATGAATTCACAGTCATCCTCCGACCGATCCCTCTCCCTGGGGAACGCACCGTGCCGTAAGATGAACAATGTGTCAAGATCTCCATGAACCATATTAGGTGTCAATGGGCTATTGCCGTCCATCCCTCGGAGGACTCGTTACTAGAGTTTCATCTCCTTCTCTGCCCATTGGTCGCTGGTATGACAAATATTTCATGGAGTCTGTCTCACACCTTCTTCGTTTGACTGAGTTTATTTGATTGTGGTTGATACCCGTCCTCCCCTGCTCAGATTCCATTGTTTCATTCTTCACTCCCCTCTTCGCGCACACCGCAGTATATATACCCTAACCGGATTACCGGTCCTAATCCAATTAGAGCCCCCTCCCTTTCATCTGACACCAAATTGTCACGGTAACGATGTTCTGCTCACATTGCACGTGCAAAAGAACGCGAAACGATATGATCATCGAGGGATTTGTGGTATATTTAAAAACCGTGGAATGCAATTCCGCTAATGCGTTAGCTGTTCCCAAGATAGATTCAGTCACAGCTAGAGGACTGAATTTTTGATCTAATGCGAGGGACCGACAGGGGAGAGACTGGCTGCTAGGTGAAAATCGACTAACCTCACTCTCTCTGGGCTAGCCGCTAGTCTACCCACATGTACATGATCTCTACCACATTACAAAGATGGTTACCTAATGGTTCGTAACACCGGAGCCGCTGCGGCTATGTCACCATGTACATTCCCTGTACATTTCTTGTTCAACACTTGCTGTTGGACTTTGAATCTGTAGGAAAAATCAATTTTGGTCCTCCTGTTTAATTTTACTTTCGATGCATTAAATATTACTATTATGCGTGTACCAATAGTTTTTGTGTTGAGGTGTAATTTGTACATTTTCCTTTATAGCAGGGAACGCCAGTCATCCCCGAAGCACCTCCCACACCCCCACAGCCCCTCCTCCTCGTCCTCCGGACACTCCTCACCCAGATCCCCACCCTCAAACCCGCCCCCTCCCCTCCCAGCCAGTACCAGCGGAGCTGGGCTGAAACAACAGCGACCGCCCCACCCTGCACCGTCACACGCCCCCAGGAGCAGGTCACATGACATCCTCTACAGTTACCACGGGGACCCAAACAAGGCGGCCTCCAATTGGAAGTCTTCTCCCTTGATGCAGCGAGGCCACACCCGGGCGTCATCAGATCCCAAGAAACAAGAGCTGTTGTTGGCATTGTTAACGGGTCCTAACGAGAGGGGTTCCCCCTCGGGCCCAGGGTCTCCGCAAATTCCCCCACATCGACACCACCCGGAGCCGATTGGTGACCACACCCCTCCACGTACTCACCACTCGTCACGTTTCAGCCCCGAGGGAATCCAGGCAGAAACCGGGGAACGAAGGGGAGGCCGAGGGGGAGGGAAAATGGGAGGTGGGAAGAGCAGTCTGGCAAGTGTATCGTACGACACTCAGATGAGACCGGGGGGCGTGGTTTCCGGAGTGGAGGGTGCGGAAGGAGGGAAAATGGGAGGTGGGAAGAGCAGTCTGGCAAGTGTATCGTACGACACTCAGATGAGACCGGGGGGCGTGGTTTCCGGAGTGGAGGGTGCGGAAGGAGGGAAAGAGGTAATACCCACCAATCACGTCGCGTTGAGAGTGGCGCAGTTCAGTGGGAGCTATGCCACGGAGGAGAAAGAGGAGGGAGGAGGAGGGAGAGTAAAGATGCCTTCTTCACCTGGTGGAAACGTAAGAAGTCCCGAGATGGAGAAGGCAAAGATTTTGACGATTTCTCCCGGATCGAGCGAAGAGGAGCTCGCTTCCATCCACAGCGAGAGCGGCCTCGGCGAGGGGTCAGAGGTCACCGACGGAGGGTACTACCACCATAAGGCAGAGGGGGTTCCCCCCGCGGGGAACTTTGACCCCGGACATGTCCACCCACAGCTGTCGCAACCGACATATCTAAATAGAGCACCCCCTTCTTCGACCTCCCAGCTGCCTCCGTTTCCCCACAACCCAGCTAGTTTTCCCTCTCTGTCGCAACCTCATCCGTCCCTTTCCTACGAAACGGCCACTCACCACAGAGGTGGCGTGGAGATTCCTCTGAATAGGTCCTTCCCTCCCCCCCACCTTCACCAAAAACACCATCCTCACACTCCGTACCGCCTCCCTCCCCAATCGAACCCCTACCCGCCTCCTCAGTCACATGACTATCATCAGAGATCACATGATCATCACATGACGGGGTACCCAGGGTCACATGATCCTCACGTGACTGGGTATCCTGGTTCATCGTATGAGCAGCACCACGTTTCCCCTCACCATGAGCACCATGTCACTTCTCAACACCGTAGCTACCGGCAACAGGGCCACGCCCACTCCCAGCAAGGCAACGCCTACTCTCAACAAGGCCACATCCACCAGCGACCTTTGATCTTGAAACAGAATCTTCTCAAGGCCCACGAAGCAGCTGCCAACGGCAACCTCAATGCACTGGTAAGCAAAAGCAGAATAATGCCTTTCGTGTTTAAGTGTGATCCTACATACGAATGGCTAATATTGGCCAGTTCATTCACTTAGATTTCCTTTTCAAATAAGCAAAAAGGACTTTCAAATATTCTTGCATGCACACAGACTCGCAGCGTAAAATTATAGTGTGTCTTTGAAAAAGTAAACAATTTTAAACCAACTACAATTTGTCTCCCTCTCTCCCCCCTCCCTCCATCTTCAGCGGCACATGTTAGGAAACCATGAGATTGACACCCTGTGTATGGACGACACCAGACTCACCCTCGCACACACTGCCGCCATGACAAACAACCTCTCCGTCCTCGCCCTCCTCGTTAACGAGGGGGGCTTACCCCTACATGCCCTCCAGCTCCCAGACGAGAATCTCGTCTCTCCTGCCATGGTCGCCATTCAGGTTCGTCTCAAATTTAGTGTCTTTACAAATTGGAAAAAAATACACGTGGGGTAATAATTTTTACCCGTGGTAATAATTTTTACATGTGGTAATAATTTTGTGTGTTGGTTTGTTTGTTGTCTAGAACGGGTGTCTGGAGGTTCTGCAGTGGCTGGTAGAGGAGGGGAAGGTGCCACTAGTTGTACAGGATGCAGGAGGAGAGACCCTTCTTCACCACGCAGCGCACCACGGCAGTGTAAGTTTAGGACACCTCACACCTCACTGATCAGGAGGCCTCAGTGATTCACTGATCAGGACACCCATTGATCAGGACACCTCACTGATCAGGACACCCACTGATCAGGACACTGACCAGGACACGTCAGTGATCAGTCTATTTCTCTCTCTGTGTAGGCCAACTGTCTACAGTGGTTACTGAAGGTTGCCAAGCCTCCCAAACAAGAAGAACTTGTTGGTAAGTTTACCACCCACATGTGCTGACTACAAACTAATGTGTTGTTTGTGTATTTAGAGTTCCTGGACAACTTTGGAGTTACTCCAGCACACTTCGCTGCTCAGCAGGGTCATCTGGAGTGCCTACAGGTACATACTTACACGCATACATACATACATACACACATACATACATACATACATACACATAAATACATACATACATACATACATACATACATACATACATACATACATACACACACATACATACATACATACATACATACATACATACGTGCATACCGCACTCAGTAGAAGTTGCTCTCTATGAAATGAGGACACTTCACTCATAAGGTCGTCTTTTCTTTTTCCAAGAGCAGTTGTTGCATGCACTTTAACACCTGAAATAAGGATACGTTTTCTCCTGTCACATTGGTGTCCAGATTAGCAGGGTTCCAATCTCACCCTTCTCTCTCTCTCTCACACACACTCTCAACAGCTAATGATAGACTACAACTACAGTGTCATAACACCAGACAAGGAGAACCAGAAACCGATTGACTGGGCCGACGCTATGAACCAGACACTCTGTGTGAGGTATGTCTTATGCCTTGAGCGTGTAGTAAGGAAGTGAGGGTGAAAACCTTCATACAGTGCACACCTAGACTGTATATACAGAGCTGCAATTGTTAGGAGTGACTATGGCACCACATTTTCAGTTGTGCGGCGGTTTGCACTTCCTTGCAGCAGGTCGTCCATACTGATCTGTGGCACTTCGTAAATTTTGGTTATGAATATGATTGTAGGTATCTGTTTATGCACGAGACCTGCTGGGCGCTGTCGGCAGACGTGGCACACCTCTCCAAACAGCTGGAACTGTGAGTATATAAAGTCACGTCTTTTCTCCCTCTCACTGGCCCCATGAGATGCCTCCATGAGATAGTGAGGTGTCCTTACCTCAGAGCACCTTAATTGTTGTTCTTTGGGGAAGGAAAGTGGTCCTTTTCAGAGCGGTGTCCTCATTTCAGTGGTGTCCTTTTCCAAGAGTTCCACTGTAACTCCTGTTCAGACCAATTCTGTAATCTCTCCTTCCTTCCGCCCCTCCCTCCCTCTCCTCTCCCCCCAGTCTCCAGCGAGAGAACACATCTCTAAAGGAGAAGTTCTCATCCCAGGAACAGGAGTACCAGCAGGCGCTTGGCAAGATACAGACCCACCACAAGGAAAGGATCGTCAAGATACGAGAGCAGTACGTCGATCTCACCGCCTCCCTCCTCAAGGTCAAAGGTGACAGTGGAGGAGGGGGTGCGGCAGGGGGCGGAGCTTCACCTAAAGTAAAGTGAGTTGCTCCAATCTCTTCTTTACCGGGTAACGGAAAACTTTAGCGAATCACGTAACTGCAACTTTTTCATGAGAAATGCAGACCTGCTAGGCTGGCGTGCATGGTATATATACAAAACCAAGGCATTCGCCAAAATTTCAAATTGGCAAAATTCGTGTGAACTTTAGTCATAAGGTATATTTATGTGCTCTGTTATATATTGACTACCTACACAGCTAGATAATTATATTACTGTGTTTTCTGTGTTTGTGGTTCTAAAGGCCTCAACCAGCCACCAGAAAGGACTCTTCGCGACGCAGCAAACCTCCGTTGCCGCCCGACTCCATCAAGAAGAGAGATGGAGGAGGAGGAGGAGGAGAGGGGAAGGGAGAGGGTGTGGATGGTGGAGGAGGAGGGGGAGGAGGCTTGGGCTTCTACAGAACAACCACACCTCAAGAAGTCTTGGAGTGAGTTGTTACACTAGCTAGCACTGAGCCCTTTTCTCTATCAAACAACCGAAGAAATCAAACTGTCTCCCCTTACGTTTTACACACACACACACACACCATCAAGTAGGAAATGAATCGCTTACGTTTACTGCCTGAGTTTATTTACTAAGCAACAAGATACACAAGTAGGTGTCCAATTTCTGGATGCTGTTTCACCACACAAGCGAAAGAAAGATTCCACTCGGGAAAGTCCGGAAGATTATGACCCCTTCTCCTCTCAGGAAGCAGAAGAACACGCTGACTCTCAGGATGAACGCCAGTCGGAAGGCGAGAGAGGGACGCGATACGCTGGTGAGTCGGGCCTTCTCCCCGATCCACTACCGCCTGAACAGCAAGCAGGAGAGAGAGGGGAAACCGGCCATGCGCTCTCAGAGACACCAAGAGTAAGTATTGCCTCTTCCAACTTCCCTCCGAATCCCTCTTTCTACGTGTTTTATGAAGACGTGTTTGTTCCCCCAAGAACAGTTCTTGCATGCATTATCACCCCTAACAATAGGATACCTCACTAATATGGACACTTTCTTCTGCCCCTTAGGTGTCCGTTTACCACTTTAACACTGTATAGATGTTTCAAGTTTGTGTGTTTAACCTCAAACTAACCTTTCTCTGTCCTTTCTTCTCTCTGACAGTCAGAACAAGTCTGCACTGAAGGTCAAGTTTTCGGAGGTCAATGAGTACATCGACCACGGTCACTATGGTGATGGTAGCATTCACGGTCGCCATGGAGATGGGAGTCACGAACACGGGGAACAGGACACCGGTAGTCGAAAGGGTCAGAGTCCGTCGCACAAATCGTCAGGACACCCAAGCCCATCACATTCAGGACACACCAGTTCAGGACACTCTTTGCATGGGAGTCCGGGTCACAGTGGAGATCGCAGTAGACAGTATGAAGATCTCGGAAATAGTCATTTGAGAGATAAATAGTCCATAATACATCTCATAGCCCATTTTGTAGACATTTCAGTAGATCGTATACACAATGTCTCGACGTGCGCATGCGTACTTATCATGCGTACGTACGTACGTACGTAGTGTGTGCGCCGCCCGCCGCGCCCTGTATAATATATATAATATATATAATTATAATTATATATATACACACGACGTACGTACGCGCGCGCGGCGCGCGCTCGCCATGCACACGCACGCGCACGTGCACGCACACACCCGGCCGGGTACCCGATCGACCCCGCGAAACGCCTTGTGCGCATGCGTATAAAACGGCTGAGCCCGGCCCTTCTTTCTCGTAAAACCGGTCTAGCTAGCTAGCTAGCTAGGCTTGCACCACCCCCGCGAAACGCATTGTGCGCATGCGTAGAAATGTGCCGAGCCCGGCCCTCTTTCTCGTAAAACCGGTCAAACCAACCTAGCTGGCTAGGCTTGCTACTATCAACATCATGGCGTCGTCGGTAAGGGCAGTGCTTTCTCGTCCTCTAATGGCGTCTCTACATCGCCTACTGGTGCCGCCGAGGTCGCGCCTATCTCTGCTGACCACCGCTCGTTTGCTCTCCCTCTCGCACGCTGCGATCGAACAAAACGTGTCCGTTTCTCCTCAGACCGCGGACACCGTTCTAATGGTGGCGCCCAAGTACTTCAACCTGAACCTAGCTACGGCTACCGACAACATCTACCAAACCCTTCCCGACCAGCTGAAGGGAGCCAGCAGTGACCAGATTGTGGGCCTGGCAACGAAGGAGTTCGAGGGACTCGTCTCTCTACTGAGGGGGAACGGAGTGCGCGTTTTAGTGGTAGAGCCGCTGGAAGAACACAAGGATTGTACGGACGCCGTGTTTCCCAACAACTGGGTGTCGTTTCACGAAGGCAAGATAGCTCTCTACCCCATGATGGCCGAGAACAGACGGCGAGAGAGACGAATGGACGTGGTCGAGAGTCTCTGCCGAGAGCTCCGCGCCGACATCGTCGATTATTCGCCGTGGGAGAACCAGGGGATGTTTCTAGAAGGGACAGGGAGCATGGTACTGGACCGAACGAACCGCCTCTGCTACGCGTGTCTCTCTCAGCGTACGCACCCGGAGGTCCTCGTAGGGTTCTGCCGGGATTTCGGCTACACACCGGTCGCATTCGAGGCTACTCAACTAGCAGAGGACGGCAAACTCCGTCCCGTTTACCACACCAACGTCATCTGTAGCGTTGGAGACGGTTTTGTAGTCCTCTGCACGGAGCTAATCAGAGAAGCTGGCCAGAGAAAGATGGTGCTGGACACCATCAGATCAAGCAACAAAGAGCTAGTCGATATTGACGAGGAGCAAGTGTTCAATTTTGCAGGGAATATTCTACAGTTGAGCGGGCCTGGAGGTGAGAGGTTGCTGGTCATGTCGAGCGCAGCGTACGAGTCGTTCCGGTCTGACCAGTTGGCGTCGCTACGGAGACACGTCGACGTCATTCTCCACGTTCCCCTGCCGACGATCGAGAGCCTGGGAGGGGGCGGGGCCAGGTGCATGCTGGGAGAAGTGTTCACACATTGACAACATGTGATGATAAGGTTCATTTCGATGTTTTTGTGATTTGTGTATCAGTTTTTTTGGTACATATGCCATTATTCTTTCAGCCCCCTATTTATTTTATTTATGCTAATATATTCAATCAATATAATACTGGCTGCTTTACTATTAATTTTGCTATCATTAACATCTTCACATTAAGTGCAAGATTATTCATAATAATTATATAAGTGTGTTGAGTTTGTCAAATTTTTATTCTATAATATTCACCTGTATAATATGCTGAATGAACTGCATTTTTAGCGTCCGTGGTCAGTGGGTATTACAGCGGCTACGTTATGGTCTAGATTAGTCTGAGGGCGAGTATTTCTTGTGAGAGATCCACTGTGCGACTACTGCCGCTGTTGTGGGCATTGGAAGGATCAGTGGTGGCTCGAGAACTCTGCTGCTGAAGGGGGAGAAGGGGGTGAGGAAATGTTTAGCGCGAGTGGAATTAGTAGGGGATAGAGGAAGTGGAGAAGAAGTACAGGAAAGTCTTTGAATAAGGGACATCTTGGGTATGCCCTTCAGCCAGGACGTAGAGAAGTGTTCTAACGGTCCTTTTGAAAGGTTTCACTGCAATTAATTAACTGCCTCGGCTGCCAGTACAATTTGGTACTTATGTCAATAACCACACCCAAACTGACAGATTTAGGCCTTGGTCTGCTGGGATGCTGGTGGGAGCCGGGCCGACTGCTGTGGGCGGAGCTTGCAGCAGTGTGGGAGTGGTGTCGGGTGTGGTCGGCAGAGGAGGTGTGAGGACGGAGACTACTGCCCATGAGGGTGGGCCGGGAGGATGTGTGGGCGGTGCCGGGGAGGGTGTGAGGGGTGGAGGAAGGAGTGGTGCTACTGTGTCTCCGGGACTGTAGGGCCCTCAGTGATGCGTGGTTTTGGCCTTCCAAATCATGAACCTGTGTGTGTGTGGAGAGAGGGAGAGTAGAACAGTGGGCAAATACAGATTATAAACCACCTTCATGGTTAGGGGAGAGAGGGAATTTACTACTACAAAGAGCTATTACACACGCTACCATATAACTTTGTATATAGGTTTGTGGGTTTTTTGAAGTTTGCAAAACGATTTCATTGCACCTGCGCTGGTCAATCTAGTCGTGAAACATTAATTCGTGAAGGGTTGCTTTGTGAAAGTTGACTGTTGCACATGTTTTCAGTTGGTAGCTAACGAGCAAGTTATGAGATAAGGTCGGCCTTCATTACCAGACAATAGCCACTGTGTACCTGAGTGAGCAGATCATCAACTTGGTGGAAAGCCTCTCTCTTCAGTTGTCTCTCGTGTTCCAGTTGCTGTTTAGCACCCTGTGACAAACAGGCACACACACACACACACACACACTCTCTCTCCTCTCTCTCTCCATACACCAGAAAACGAAGAGTATAATGAGAAGGTTGAGAAGAGGAGAGGTTTGAACTGACGTGGAGTTCGTGTGAAAGCCGTTTTTGTCCTTCTGCATCGTGTCTGTGGTGTTTCTCCCAGGCACCTGGGGCCGGAAAAGGAGAAGAGAAAATAAACAAAGCGGAAGGAAAAGAGAGACCCCAGGAAAGCCAAAAAAGAGAAAGAGCATAGGAACAGATAAACGAGGACATAGGGAGGGCAAAAAATCAAGGCGGACAAAACAAAGAAAGAAAAGAAGAGGCAGACAGATGACGACCAAGGATCAGAAGCAAGAAAGAAAAAAACCAAACATGTCTTCAATAACCGACATAAAAAACCACTAACCACACTATGAATAAAAGAACTAAGTAAACTCCACTCGGATAAATACTATAAGGAACGAAAAATAGAGAACAAACGATGATAGAGGAAGCACAAATAAAATGGTTCAAAAGAGATATAAAGGGACGCACCAGAAAAAACGAATTAAACGAAAGAAAAACGAATAGATTAATTAGCACGGTAATATGAGTTTTATCAAAAAGGCAAGAAGGCGTACGACAGAAAGGAATTCCGTCGAAAATAGTTGAGTAAAACTTAAATAGGAAACGCAGACAATTGAAGAAGAAAGAAACGACAAAAGAAATCAAAGGAAAAGACAAAAAAGAGAGAAGGACGGGGAAAAACAGATAGAAAGGAAGAATAAAAAAACACAGAAAGACGAAAAAAGTGAAGACAAACAGGAAACAAAAAAGAAATAAACAAGAAAGGATGGAGAGAGAAGGAAAAAGTCGTATCGATACCAAACGAGAACAACAAAAGGAAAAAAAAGCGCACTAGATAAGAAAAACAATGGAAAAAGAGAATTCAGAGACAATGAAAGACCACAAACGAGAATAAAAATAAAGAAGCAAGAGACAAGAAAGCGACCAAAAAGAAAAGATAATACAAACAAAGCGAAAAAAAAAAAGAAAGATCAACAAAAAGAGCGAACAAAGGAACAAGAGAAAAAAAACGAAGAAAGGAGAGACAAGAAAAATAAAAAAAAATAGAATAGACAAGTAGAAACAATACACGCAGAAAGTGCATATTAAAGAGGTAGACGCTACACCTACAGGATAAAAAAAAACTGAGTAGAAAGGTGAAGAAGACACAGAGCCCCCAGATACAAACGAAAGAGTATAAAGTCTAAAGAATAGATGAAAAGTCGAACAAACATTGGAGAAACAAGCGAACAATGAGACAATAGGAAGAGCAGAGAAAGAGAAAAAGGAGAAAAAAAGAGAAAACAAAAAAAGGAAAAAGCAAAGGAAAAGAAAAAAAGAACGGAGGAAAGAAGACAAAAGAAAAGGAATCAAAGACACGAAGACAGGACAGACACAATTCAAAGGAAGAGCGCCCATTGATACACTACTCCAGATTAAACATCAAACCCTTCCACCCTTCCCCCTCCCCCCTCCCCCCCCCTCCCTCCCCCCCCCCCGACTCCCCGTAATAAGAACACCTTTTCTTCCCCCAAGAACTGTTTCTGCATTCAATGTTTAAAGGACACCTCACTAATGCGGACGTTGTCTTCCGTGCCATTGGTGTATGGATTAGAGGAGTTCTACTAAACACCGGTTAACTCACTCTCTAATTCTCCAATTTTCTTCTCTTTTTGCTCCAACTGTCCGACCTGTGGCCCGAGAGCAACACTGTAAGTTGCAACAGTCTCGCGAAACGGGGAAATTATCTCACCAGCTCCTTCATTTTGGAAGTGACGGCTCTTGATTTCTGGCTAAATTGCAGCTGTGAAAAGAAAGAAAAACGACATTTCGTCTTTTCGTCTGAAATTAGACGATGTCAGATAAATCCATCGTGTCTCGCTCCCAATCTCACGCCGGGACGGACTGAAAGAGTGTGTGAGGCAGATTAACAGGATGAGTATTGTTCAAGATTGGCTCATGTGCCAAAGCCCTATATACATTTTATATGCATATCTCCCCCACATTACTAATGTCACATGATATGACAACACACATTCCTTTCATATGCAGTTCTTAGAGGAAGCCTGTAACAGTTGGCCTCTGTCCATTAAAGCCCACACACAAACGACTCTCGGATCATGTGTGACTCTTGCGAAAGTTCCTGTCATGTGGTATGTACTAGAGTTCGAAAGGATGTCAACACTCTAATCAAGGACACCCCTCTCTAGAGGATACTTGATACTATGAAACTACACCTCTTATAAAGCACAGTTGTCATGGTCCAAGTGTGTCAATAAATCAGAGGTTCCACTGTATATTATATATACCTGTGTCTTGTTGTCGGTGGATTTGACAGCAGTGGAGTTCGAGGAAACCTCTTTCTTGTTCTGCAGTTCGATCACTGCCAATTCCCTCTCCTTCTCCACCTCTCCCAGTCTCTTTTTATATATATATATATATATATATAGAGAGAGACGGTTCAGCGAATTACATAATTATGCAGTTAAGCTTCTTTATGTTGGTAGAATTGAACACCCAGATATTAATTAATGCAAAAGAGCGGAATTTCGAGATTTGCACAAGTTTGCTTGAGCAAAAGCACCCACTAAATGCTGCACCATTTCAATGAGGGGTATATAGCTATGCTGTACACCTTCTGTAGGGAATTGACTTGTGCACGCAGAGATCTCATCTCCACCTCAGCCACCATCTTCTGCTCCAGCCCTTCTCGTTTCACCTCCTCCCACTCACCCCTCCACCTCCCCACCTCTCTCACCCGCGCACCCTCCTCGGCACTACGGCGAAGTATATTCATTCCTCTCTGCTTCAGCAACTGAGGAGTATTAGAACATATTGCGTAACTATTGGCCCGCAAATTCATATAGCAGGTTTTTTCGACTAACCAGATTGTTCAGTTTGGCATTCTCGCTCTGAACTTTGCACTCTTCCTCGCCACGTAGGTTTGTCGTCACGGTGACACCTAGGTGGGCGGGGCCACCGTGAGTCTCCTTGGCTCTGGCCACGCCCTCTGCCATGCCCCCTCGTACCTCGCTGACGCAGCGGAGGACGTCAGAGAAGAGAGAGGAGCGGTAGTCGTGGTATCTGGCAGTGATGGCCGCACAGGAAGAGAGGAGGTTGTGGGTGAGGGAGGAGTACTCCTGTCGGATGGCCTTCCTCAGTTGGGACTCCTGCGAGGCAGGGAGGGAGGGAGGGAGAAGGGAAGAAGGTGACATCTAAAGGGAACGTGGCACTATGTAAGGGCCGATGTTACCAATAGGCCTAGTGCGAAGAATGCCAATTTAAATTGCCACATTTGCTTGAACCCTATCAAAAAACACACTACAGCTTGCCTCCCTTTTGCCCTCCCCGCAATAATGGCATTTCTTGTAGGCATCTACATCTCTTTACTAGGCTTTGGATTCAGGAATCAGAAATGTGAATTTGGTGAGTTGAGCTGTGTACTTGCCTGGGTCTGTAGCTGGTTCTCCAGTTCTCGAATCCTCACTCTTAGAGCTGTCAGTTCTGAGGAGGGAGGAAGAGAACTCACAAACAACGGAAGAGAGAGAGTACGAAAGAAAGAGGGAAACAGTGAGGGAAGTTGAGGTTACCAAGGAGACTAGGTTACCAAGGAGACAAGGTTACCTAAGAGACTGGAGTGGGTAAGTTCTCCGGCAGTGACGAGAGCCAGGGTGTGGTTGTCCCTGGCAACAGACTCCGCCCTCTCTCTCCACATGTCTATTTGTCTGTCTCTCTGGTACAGCTGACAGTACAGGCTCCGGACCAGCCCTTCATAGTGGCCTGAATATCTACAGTGGAGCCACGAGCCATACACGCGTATCACAGACAGTCATTCATAGCACTGTTTATCATGCGTACGTTCAGCTAGGAAACTATATTACATTTTGTTAATACGTACGTGTGGTATGCAATCCCTGAATAAATTCAAGTTGCTTCCAAAATTCGATACTGCGTGTGTGTGCGTGCATGTGTGTGTTTGTTGCATACATTTGGAAGGTCTCCTTCTCTCTGTGAAGAACGTCACTGGACAACTGGCACACACACTCCTGCAGTGCACTCTGCAGCAAACGTAATACAGTTTTAGAGTGAGATTTTCAAACTCGGTGGTTTAGTAAAACGCTATAGCACACACTCGTATTTTGTAGGGCTAGAGCGAAATGGACAGTGGTGTTGTTTCATGGAGCTAATGTGTCGGGAGGTGAATGTGGGTGTGGCTGAAATCAATACTTTCGAAACGGTGTAGGCTGGTCCACTGTCCGTGCTGCTGGAATGGAATCGAGACAGGAACGAGTCCACGATGTGTGGGCGTGGCACTCCACCCGGCTCCTTCATTGACGGCTGAGGGAAGAAAGAAGAGAGAGAAACCAATTATCAATAGTAGTGAACATTGAAGGGTCACTTTTTGAAAGTTTATATTTTTAATGGAAATTCGTTGAAAATAAGTCCAAGCCGCCTACCTAGTCGTCTGAATCCGGGATTTTTCTATATTATGTGAGTGATAGCATTGAACATACCGTAATGTTCTACGTGCATGAGTGAAAAATTGAACGTTTTCTAAGCTCACGCTCGCTCGCCAAAATGTGTGGCATTCCTCATACATCTATATATATATACATACACAGACTATGATGATGTGCATTGGGTGGTTGGAATCTGCTCACCCTCAACTCTACTTCCCTGCCCAGGAGCTCGTGCAGCTTGGCTCCTCGGGCCGTGATCTCAGAGGCTAACTGTCTGCATGCCTTCAGATCAGTAGACTGCAAAACACACACACACGCGCGTATAAATCGCAGCATAATATCAGAGAGTATATATAGTTTAGAGTACATACCTTTACAGATAACTCCATGTTCTTCTGTGTACTTGTGTCCTCAGACAATCCGGACTTCTATTTGAAACAGTAGGACGGTTTTAGGCAAAATAATGTACTTACAATGCGCACTACTTGGAGTGCACTATGTTTCTTACCTGATGAGTGGTCATGGCAGTATAAAGGAGACTAGATATCTTGAGCAGTTCCTTCACTGCATGGCGTCAGCCATGTACAGCTTCTTCGTGTTCAGTTTCACATGCGCCTTTGTTGCCTGCAAGCGTAACAGCCACTTGAGCATGGCATCCAGAAAACAACGATAATCTGTCAGATGTGGCCAGTTGGTCTAGGGGCATGATTCTCGCTTTGGGTGCGAGAGGTCCCGGGTTCGAATCCCGGACTGGCCCATTTTTTTCATCCCTCAATGCGTTATTTTTTTACAATCCGCATTGCATTTTCACTTTGATATGCTCTACCCAAAGCCCTTCATTTTTATCGCTTCTTGTTTCAACTTACACACCATAAACTGTGCGATGGACTTTATAAAGATCACTCTGTCTTGTTCAGTGTCCACTTCAGTGGGTAGGTCAGCAGATGGATCATACCTGCATCCACAGCAGCACTAACTTCATACACACTCACTTACTCTATGCACTGTAGCTAGTTGTAATAACTCTCCCTTTCTCTCCACACAACATAAACTTCCTACATTCACTAAACACACCTATTGACCAGCCAGGCGAGTATCTCTGCAACCAGCTGGAAATTCGGAGTTCGGAAATTCTCCATGGAAATCAGCCTGGGATAGCCCAGCGCTCGCATCATCTCCGTGAAATCTGCAAAACGAACGTGTTCTCTAAATAAAGAGCACCATACCTAGCTGCATCTTTTGACAGTTACCGATACATCAGGCTCTAGAATAAAGTTTCTAAGGCATCATATAATAGATTTCCGCTTCCAACATTCACTTACTTCTCAGATCTCTGTACGACATTCTGGAAAGGCTCCTGCTTTACTTCGACCGACAGTGAAAGAAAAATCCGCCGTTTTTTGTGTTATTTGGTAACCACGGCAACGATCAGCCGGGCGGGCGCACAGGGCTCCCCGCAACTCTCCACACACGTCGGTGCTTATCCAATCGTGTGATGGGTCTTCTGTCTGCCTTGGGCATTTTTCAAGCGCCCGAGGCTGTTTTAGAACGCCAGTTGCAGGCAAATCCCTACCATCCCTTCCACCTTGCCTCCAGCGAAGGAGAAGACGAAAATAAAGGTAGCCACCATGCTTTGATCACACACTGATCACTGACTTCTCCTGTTCTGCAGTGTTTGTCTACACATCTCGACACTCTTGGTTCTACCTTTACCTCGCAGTGGCCATTGCATCGTTCCTCTTTGTCATTATCTGGCCATCAGCAGGCAATGACAGTGTAAGCGATTAGCTCAACTCTTCAACATTAAATGCAGACCTTGGCTTATGCTCAACACAGGAAGATTAATCCCAAAAACTATAGCGATGGGTAGCATATTGCTACATATTCTCAGTCAGAACGTTTTTCAGCATGATGGGATATGACTCAGAGATTGATAGCTAATGGGAATTGAAAAGAAACTTTACGTACTGTGCAGGAGTATGTTGTGTTTGGTGTGGCAGTGTTCTTCCTGGCCCTCTACCTGGTCCTGGAGACGTGGCCACAGTGGAGTATAGTCCTGGAGCCAGCCTCCCACCACTACTCCGTCTACCACGGGTCCCATCTAACTGTCTCCCAACACTGCCACAACATCTATGTCAGACTGGTCTGCGAGAAGACCAGTACGTGTGCTGCAGCAATCCTTACCTTTCACCCTTACAAACAGCTCCTTAATTTCTTTTATAGCTACACGCTAGCAGTTGCCTGCCTCTTTAGTTTCTGCAACCCATTTCAGTCACCTTATGCATTCCCCTGACAGCCTGTCCTTTTACTGAACTACCTCTTCAAACTCGATGCTTCTCATTCCTATGCCGTGTCTGTATGGTTTGTTAGGTTCAAGCAGCCCTCCTCACATCAGCTGGTGCTGGATGGCTGGGGACGTGGAGGCTACCATTCATCTCACCAGGAGAAAACAACAAACAGGAAGGTAATACACCACCCACTGCAGCTCAACAGGTGGAAAATCCTTTTCCATTAACTCTGTATGTTTGTCCTGGTGCAGAAGCTAAGACATTGGCACAAGCGAGCTGACAGCCAATCTTCAAAAACTTATCAAATATTATAAAATAATCATAAATAAAAAAAAATAGAAAAAAAAAAAAATTCAACTACTTTGACTCCCACAACTCTTCAAACACACCGTATCTTTCGTTCACGAGAGCTACAATAAAAGCAGTAAGAATCGCGTGAAGAGTAGTTACTGGTTGCATTCAACAACCATTCTAGCTACACACTATTAAATGAAGCAAGATCTTGCTAGCTGATATCAACTTACAGTATGTGCATGCTCAAGAATTTTCAAATTCTCGTGACCAAGATATTCAGACATAATCCGGCACACCAGGACCATTCATCAGGCAGGGTAAAACACCACAGAGACAAGGCAAGCCTCGAGGAGTAAAAGACCATTGCACCACTGAGTGACATGTACAGGCATTGATTTATTTGAGAAAGGACGTGTCTATAATCTACACAATTTATTCTAGAATATTCTCAGCTTTTTCAGCTCAGACTTGATTCCAAACTCCTCTCGATCCTCCTCTCCTCTGCCTACTGACAGTTTCTCCATCTCTCGCTGTGCGGCCACCAACTTCTCTGAGGCATGTGCCTCATCATCTGTCTCTACGAGAGCCAAAACCTCTGAATGAGGACCTTTGACTTTGACGGAGACCTCTCTACAACGGATAGTTTGTTCTGTCCAATACAGTGTAGAATTAGGGACATCGCTTGAAACATTCAAAGTTCAAGGTTAAGATTCGTTCAACTTCAACCTCTAAAATGGACCTATGTAAGTAGCTACATACAGCTAGCCAAGAATACACAAGTAGATGATTTCCACTCGCCTTCCCTGTGTCTGGCGCAAACATGTGCTTCAGAGACTGTCTTACTCTTCCCTACGGACTGATGGCCTCTTAATGTGAACAACTGCACGACAAAACAAACACCACACACAGATTAGTGAGCATGGCAGGGAAAAACCGAACTTTTCACGGTTTAAATATCCGTTAATCGACAAAAAACTTTCAGGACAAGGGAATGTGGCCACTAAGTTGCGAGAGGTTTTGCCGAGTTTCCCTCTGTGTCACATTACGCGCCATGGGAGAAGGTTTGCTGCTACCTGTAATTCAGGGTTTCCCGACTGAGGCTTTGACACAAGCTGACTCTTCAGCCTGTGAGTATACAAGTAGGAGAACAGAATCAGTTTTTCAAGAAAAGCCTCGGTAATCCAGTGGAGTATTCACCCTTTCTTCTGCAGACTTAGCATTCAGAAATCAAAGAACATTAACCTCTCTTCCTGTGAAATAGAAACTTGCACAACTTACGTTTTGGCATTGATAAATACAAACCTCTTCGATTCTAGAAGTTCTACTATTTCCTCTTCTCCTCCTCCTCCTCCTTCATCTTTCTCTGCCCTGGAGCCTTTCCAAGCTTCCCATCCTCCTCATATCTGCCACACATGTCAGCTTCCCCGTGGCCAGAACTCTTTATATCTCAATGTTCGACTCTCCCCTCAACACTCTTTCCAAGACCTTTACTTAAAGACAAACCACAATGGGAGCAAATGTGGATATTGCGCGATGATTTTACTCTCATAAAAAACCGACAACTGATGCTTAAGCTAAGTGCATATTACAATTATGGCATTGAAAGATACCCTACTTAGGTATATACCCCCAATAGGGATACTTACCCAACAACATATCCCATCTTGGCAATCAGTTAGAGCCAATACCTAAAAACACCACACATGCAATCAAACAAGGAAAATAGACAAGAACTACCGATACTCACAGTGGTGTACTTCTCCCAGTCTCGAGAGCCTGTGAGAGCACATGGTAATACACTACACACACGCCTCCAATCCTCTCCACCCCTTCCTCATCCCAAATCTCATCAATCACTAGAACTGCCCGACTCTGAACCCTCTGTAATAACAAGTATCTTACTAATAGCAACACATATGGCCACTGCCAGCTACGGGACAATTGAAATGCTTACGCACCATGACGCATTATCGCAGTGCATTGTCTGTCGTTACGCATGGAAATCGTGCAATTCAAAAAACTATAGGTGGGCACTCGCCAATAACTACCTACAGTATAGCCTGTTATAGCAAACGCCCTCCATAAAGTAACACGAATCATATTGTTGCACATTTTAAATTTTCGCTTTAGTGAACACTCCTTTACAGTGTAGGTTTGGTCGTTCCCTTCCATTTCACTGTAACGGGGTCCTAAACAGAGAAGATACCACCCAAGGAAATACATTTCAATAGGAGTCTGGACAGTTTTGTTGAGTGACGGAATATGTACG